AAGGAAAGAAATTGCTTGCACCCCGCGCTGTTTTTGCCCATACATCTAAACATCTATGCATCTAAAGCGAACGTTACACATGCTAATATATTCACAAGGAGGATAGTGTAACTGGCACTTTAAATCTTGGTCTGTACATTACCCTCATTTTTAAAAATCGCGATTAGAACTGGTACATCGGGAAACAAATATGGCGTAGCTATTGGGGGTGCCTTAGGCAGTGATGCCACATTTTTTTCGAATTTAAATCTGTATTCTCACGTAACATTTGAAAAGGGCCTATCCTCGTTGAACGATTCTCTTCATAGACTTTCTCTTTGATTTACCACGGCAACATAAACGAATTTCTCGCTAAGCTCGCACGACAGTTCGACAGAAGATGATGTTAGTTTTATAGTCGCTATATTCATAGCCTGGCGGAGAGAATCTCGGGAACCAATTGAGCTGTCAAATAGTGGAACCAATCGAGCAAATCACGACCAACAACAGAACAGAGCACATCAGCTATTGCGAACAAAACTTCCGGAATCCGTTTTCACGTGACTTAAGGCACGCCTACGCACACTAACACCATCTTTGGGTTGGGGAAAGATTTCCCTATCCGATGATGCCGGTAATTTGCGTTCGATTGGCGAGGAAACGTTTTGTTTATAAAACTTGATAGTTCCATTTCAATTGTTGGTTGGTTGGAACCAATTCACGCTTTTTGATAGATCGAAATTCTATCCGTCAGACTATAAATAAAGCGACTATAGTTAGCTTGCGCCTGAATCAACACACTGAATGGGAAATTAATTTGCAGTCGGGTTATTCACGAAAGAGAGAATCGGACTGATTGACTATTTAACTTTATTGGTTCGTCAAATATTATTGCAATATAATAAGATTGCATATAATAAGATTGTGCCGAAAGTATAAAGTATAAAAGTATAATAAATCAGATTAAGTATAAAGTCATAAAGCTCCAGTTGTATGTCATGAAGAAGAAAGTGATTTATATACACTTCGCACTACGTAAAACTCATATTAGCTCCACATAGATAAGCCCCAATTATATCTTAAAATTATTGTCATGTTAGCAAATAAACGTGAAGACATAAATCTATTGATTATTGAATTATGATTTGGGCTCCAATTCAAACTAGCAATTGCTGTTCAATTGAACAGTGCAGAAACTGAGACCAATAAAAATAAAAATATCAATTAAGGCCTCGTATATCTATGGATAATATCAAAAATGAGATTATACTGTGTAACAAAGGTTCTATTCACCTGCCCGGTGGATCAATATGGGTTTTTACTGTGAAGGGAAATTGAGACAAGTAATATTGACTTTAATACATTGAGGTTAAATGACTTCAAACGTATTGCCATTAATGTTTTCAATATTCGTATATTGATGATATACGGATAGCAAAATTTACTGGTTTTTTTGTCAATGTATTCTGAGTATTGACAAAGTGAAATCAAAATTAGCTTTTCGTCAATACTTGTCATCAATCATCATCATCAATATCATCTTTTTAATAATATTGTCAGTATGTCAATTTATTGTCAATACATTGGCATGTGTAATGGGCGTATTATACATTTCTCGATTGCATTTTCGAAGGGACGTATCTGCTTTTGTTGACAGTGCGTTTGATGGTCGGTTTGGTGTGGCTAGTGGCTCGCCCGCAGGTGCTGCGCCGCTATCAGTTAGATGAAAATTTCCCCTATCTGATGGTGGTGTTGACATGAGTGGGCGGGATGACAATTGAGGATCGCTGGTTATAGAGCACCTGTTTTTGCTTAATGATTAGAAGATCATGGGTTAAAACCCAAGCCTCATTACATTACTAAGTTAATCTATCCAGGCTTCTATTGTAGAAAATCGTTAATAACAGAAATTGGAGGAACTATTCAGAAAAGTAATAAGTATATTTAGACAAATGTGACGTACGCCTGAATCGGTTTGGAAGACATTGTTAACTCCTTTGGATGATTTCATTTTATTGTAATAGCTTCTTGTAACCGATAATGAACGATCGTCGGTCGTAGCTTGTTGTGATGAAAGGGGCACGGTGGCCTTAGAGCGACCGGTTTTGCTTACTGAGCAGAAGATCGTGGATTAAAACCCAAGCCTCTCTACATTACTGAGTTCATATGGTCGCGTCATTTGCTTTACAGGTTTTAAGGGGTAGTCCACTCTGGCGGCATGAAAAATAGGTCATTTTCACGATTTTTTTTTTTGAGCGTAAATAACGATCAATTAAAAAAAAGGAATGCATGGTTTATCAATTGAAATGTCCTCTTTAATTGAGATTTTTTTTTTGGCGCGATTGGATGTCTCTTGTAGCCGCTGCACCAGGTTTTCCAGGAGACCTCCCGTCTGAGTCGTCGCGGGGCGGGACGTCTGGCGGTCACACCACTGGAGCTGGAACAACGATTTTTTTTTGTGTTTATTCTCTGATAGATGACCCAGTCTTGTACGTAGCTGTTTTTTTATTTGGTTTAAAAATAAAAATTTGGCGGCGTTCTGAAAAAAAAAACAACAGTCCGTTTTTGTACCCTAAAATTGGAGATAAAAGCTAGCACCAAAAATCCATTTTTGATTCCTTTGAAAATACAAGACTAGAAAAAAAGGTACTTAACTCGAAAATTTAATCGCCGTTTAAATCGAATAAGCCGTTTCTAAAATACAGCACCGCTAATTTTGAATACATCGTTTAGAGATAATCGCCGGTAACGGGCGGGTACTCCGAGCGCTCACCTAGCGCACTTGGAGCGTCTGGACTCGAGTCCACTAATCGGCCTATAACTTTGGAACGATGTCACTTGCGGACTTGCGGGCAAGTCTATGTCAAAGTAGACATTCCAAAGTATTATATTTTTTAAGCCAAAAAAAAAAAGATTTTCTTGAAATTTCCAGAGTGGACTACCCCCTTAAAAGATCGCATCACTTTCCAATGTGAATCCAGATTTAATTTACCCCCTTCACACTAACAAAAACGTCCTTCCCGTGACAAACGTGGAGATGCAGATCGGTCTCTAGTAGCAACGGTTGTTGAAATAACAATTCCTTCCCTCCCCGATGACCGTAAAGACGTGGCAAGTGTCGTTATGGACCCCAAAAATATGTATTCTCCGGATGTTGTACACTGATAATGGATTGCTAGTCTCAAGCCCAATTAATGTAGTTTTTTGTGCAAATTTCGCTAAATCTGGTCAATCACCACTGAAATTTATGATCGTCAATGCTCATGCTCATGCTCATACTCAGGTTGCGCCGCGATAGAGCGCATCGTGTTTTGCGAGAGCAGAGAAATAGGATCTCATAAAATACTTGGATTTCTCATCAATTTAGCATTTATGTTAATCGTGGATTCGACGATAAACAATGAAGCATATTACCCGTGGGTGGACCGTAGTAAATAAAAAAATTAATCATTTTACAAAAAATGTAACATTTAATACCATTCATTCAAATGAGACAGGCTTTTGAAAACATAGCTTCATGCATTATAATAGAACAACCCAGCCTGGCTAGGTTTTATATCACTTGAATGTTTCTCACAATGACGCACAAAATTACATAGGAAGAAAGGTTTTCAGCATTTTGTTTTTATTACTGATTCTAAACAGTTGACAGCTGTTTAATTGGCGCATTAGAGTACTCTTCGATTGTCCATTATTGTTGCATTTAAATAAACGTCATATTCAAAGAAATGCAAAAAGGGCGTTTTATAAACTCCTGCACAGCAAAAAATTAATTCTGATATCACATCACTTCAATGCACTTCAATCGTGTCGAAAATATGGTGTAATATTACTTGCCAAAAAGGACAAAATTATCATTAATGCAGTGCATGAACTGACATTCCGCTGCTTTTACTGCATTTGTTTATTTTGTGGCCTTACAAATTACATGAGATTTTTGACATGATTGTAGTGCATCCACTTTGACGTGATATCAAAATTATTTTTTTGCTGTGTACTCCAACTCAGATTTTTTTAAATTCATTATAGTCCGAGGGTTTTATGAAGTCGATTAATTCTAAGATGGTCCAGGTGGTAGCCAAATGAGTAAATTCAAAGTAAACGACACAATATTTGGGACGGGTATTGACAACTGCCATTCAATGCATCAAGTTTTTCGATATCGAAAATAAACAATAAAAATCTGCCTCTGACGAAAATGGAAAAGCACGAATGATTGATACATGAACATGGGAAATAGATGTAGAATGGCGGTCGCTTTCAACCCCGCTAAAAGCCAGCCCCTCTATGATTTACCCGCAAAGAAAGCTTCCAATCAACCCAAACCCCCGAGCGTATAAGCTTCCATTTAGACAATGACGCCACGATGCACCACCTCTATAGGTTAGATACTTGGGGATTTCCAAACCCTCAAACAAAGACAACGAAACCCGGAAAGAAACCAGACATAAAGAAAAATGGGAAAAGCTTTCGCCAAAGTAGTATCAAAGTTCAACGACCCATCGGTCAGGCAAACTTGGTCACACACATACCACCCCGCGAGAGCGCTGAATGCTCATACAGCTTATGCATAGGTTGGCGAGCTTTTTAAAGATCAAACAGGTGATTCCACAGGCGAAACCACAATCTGTAGTAGCTAGGGAGAAAAAGAGCGAGATAAAATGAGAAAAATGCCGCACACCTGTGCTTGGTTGGGACAGCAACTTGATCGCGAAGACCGCTCTCTCTCTCCCTCTCACACACATCTGCGGTGATCATCAAGTTCAGCAGCTGAACAATTCTAATCCGTTCGGTTTGGATGCGGCTTTGTTGTACAGGTTTCTTATTTGTTTTTGTTTTTCGTGGCCTAGAGGTTTTGGGTGAGCTCTCTCTTCTCTGGCAAAGCGGTCTGAATGCTATGGTGCCGTGTGTGTCAACAACGGAGATAACATTCCAGAGCGAGAGACCTCCGGGTGAAGAGGAAGAAAGAGCCAGATCGCAAACCTCGCGCAAAGATAGAGCTTTACCTATATCGACCGTCGGTTGTTGGAGCGATCGTGTCAGGTTTTGCCAGTGTGGTAGTGGCTCACAGCATTTTTGGGCTCGCGAGACTTCAATGCGCACTTGCATCTGGAAGACGACGAACTTGTCTTGACGAACTACTCGCGAGATTCTGCAAACGGGGTCCGATCGGTGTGGTGTTTATTGCATAAGGCTTTTGCAACGCGGCTTCACGGAGGTGTTAAGGTGCAATTTTATCTGCTCAGGTGTGTGACGAATCGTGTTCGCAGGAAAAGAAAATGTCGTACCAGTGCAAGAATTGTGAGCGTGAAAAAGATCAAAACAATAACTACGTGAATGCCACCTATGCGGCCAATGCCCATGGAACTCGTGGCAATCGGTCCAGCTCAACCCGGGCCGGCAACGCCCGGAATGCCACCGGCACTGGTGGCGGCAACAATGAAAACGCTAACGGATCCACCGCCAACGGGGGGACGGCTTCCCAAGTGACCGGGGCCACCCAGGTGACAGCCAAAGTGATGTGGGGAAGTGTCGGAGCGATCAAAGAACTTCGCGAGAAGGAACAAGCCGAACGAAATCAGGTCACCAGGGCCGGACGTCGACAGTAGTGGTAGTAGTGGCGGAGAGAAGTTGTTCTAGTGAGCAGTGCAAGATTATTATTATTTTTTTGCACGAGAGCGGTAGGAGAAGAAGTTTTTCGTTTGCTTTTTTTGTTGAGCCAGAACGTATGCGTATTTTCAATGTTATCAACTTTTATTCTATCTATAGTAGTTAATTTATTATCATTAATATTATCAAACCGATGAGATTTTTATGACAACGCAGCACCGACCGATGAATGAAAGGAACATGCGTCAATGACAACCAGGTGAGTTTCTAGTAATTGTTACAAATTGGGCCTCAGGTGGGACGAATCGCCTTAGTATGAGTTTTCTTATTATCAGCACCTATGTATATCAAGTATGTGCAGTTGAAATAAAACGAACATTGCTTAATTCAGAGCATCAGACATTTAAATTTTAAAGAATGTTTCATTTGTGAAGTTTTAAATTTTTGCTGGCATCAATAATTTCACACTGTACTGTTTTATGGTTCTAAGAGTAGTCGCTCGTATACAGATAAATGGGTTTTGAATATTAGGGGTTGTTCTTCAACCACAAAGGCATCTAAAAGAGAGGAGGTGGATGCAGGTGACTTAAGTGTTTACAGTCTATACAAATAAAAAAAATGAAATGTCTACTCAGGGGGAGAGGGAGCTCTAAAAAACTGCATACGAAGTTTATGAACAGCCTATTAGATACTGGAGCTGTTAAATTACCAAAATGTAAATTTTTAATTCATTTCACACAACGTAGGCACTTACTACTGCTTAAAATTCTGTTAGCAAGACAGAAGTCTTTATTCATTGGATAAAACAATATTTTTCATTCAAAAACACCAAAATTTTCGAACGTATTTAAATCCTTAAGTTAATACGACATTTTCCGTTAATAGAAATTGATAAAAGCTAGTTAAACTGGAGCGTCCCTTAGCTCAGTCGGTAAAATCACAGGTACAAGTCAAGACCATGCTGGAGGCGACTGATTCGATTCCCGGTTCGGTCTAGGAATTTTTCGGCTTGGACAATTTCTCGACTTCCCTGGGCATAGAGGGTGATTGTACTTGCCACACAATTATACAAATGCAAAAATGGTGCAGGCATCGGCAGCTCTCAATTAATAACTGTGGAAGTGCATCTAGAACACTAAGTTGAGAGCACGCAATAAGCTAATATGCGATAAGCAATAAGCTTGAAACACGAAGAAGAAGAAGAATAAGAATAAGAAGAAGAAGAAGAAGAAACAAGCAAACATTTCATACCTTAACTATTTTGTTTGTATTACTTCTGGGTGAAATTGACGATTTTACATAGTTTTTTTGTTTCCTTTGATTTGGTTTCCGCCGATCTTGTTTTCCGTGCTGAGCACCAATGCTACCGACGTGCCAGGAAGGCAGCTCCCACACCTGGACCCTTATCGACCCTTCAACTCATGAACCCAACGGTTTTACTTCCCTTCCGATGGAAGGCGTGATCAGAGATGTTATGCCTCAGAGCTGGGATTGAACCCAGGCCTGCTGGGATGAGAGGCAATTACGCTTACCCCTACACCACCGTTCCCGCTATTTTACATAGTTGAAGATGCTAAGTTTCAAATAACAGACTTAGAGTGGTTATTTTATACGATAGATGAGGAGATGAAAGTATTGAGTTTATAGTTCCGATAGAGTACGGCAGTGTGAAAATTGTATGTAGAGACTAGAAAACGAGCAATGAAAACTTTGACAGCTTCCTCAGTTAAAATAAATCACTTCCTCTTTCAATTCGATCACACAAATATCGAGCCAGCATACCGTTAACTACTTTATAAATGAACACCATTGTCAAATAAACAATTCTTTGCTTCACCTACAACCATTTCAAATCATCCTTGATGCTGTTGAGGAAGGGAATCTATTAAATCTCAAAATCAAACACATTATTTTATTCTGCAAGCGCTGTAATCTCGATATTTGTGTTTCATTTGCCAGAAATAAAATGCAAGGGCAAAAGTCTAGATAAGGAGCGATGATTGATTTGTATAGCTGTATTTTACTGGCAATAGTTCATGCGTTTTTCAATTGGCATAAAATTCCATACTTATTGGCAGTTTTCTTGATGCCACTGTCAATGTGAGAGTTGAACTTAAGTTTGTCATCAATAATCACGCCAAAATATTTAATCTCCCAAACACGATCAACAATCTCATCATCAATTACAATAGAGACGTTATCATTTACTCGATTCCGCGAAATTACCATGAATTTGGTTTCACTTGTATTCAATTTCAACTGCTAACACTTCAACTTTCTACTTAGAGATCGCAAATTTTCATTCAAGTGTGGAAAGGCAACTTCTAAATCCTTAGCTGCAATGAATATCACAGTATCGTCTGAAAAAAAATTAATGTCGCAAAATCGTAAAACTCGTCGCAAGTCGTTAATATACATAATAAATTTAAGAGGCCCTAATACGCTTCCCTGGGGCACTCCAAGGTTATTTCCCACGGGACTTGAAACAGGTTCATTGAAAACAGTCCGTTGAGTCCTTTCACACAAATAGCTTTCATACCATTCATATGCAGTACTCGTAATTCCAAAGCGCTTGATTGATCGTCACAATAAGGGTCTAGAAATTGTTTCAAAAGTGCGTTTTAGGTAAAAAAAAAAGAAAACTTATTTTTACACTACAAGTTATCGTCCCACTTCGCTAAAATCAAATTCAACGCAGTTTCACAAGAATGACTTTCCCGATATTCCGATCGTTCTGGTATCAACAAACTATTACTATTAACAAATGTGTGGTACATGCCAAGTCTGCAATAAGGTCCAGCAAGATGTGTCCAATAACAAGAAAACAATCTTGAATAATACTAACATTAACATGATCTATTCCAGCCGCTTTTCATAATAAAAAGCACATAACTCTAAGTTCATGCAATGAATTGGGTGAAAAACTTCAAATCTACTTAAATGTATAATAATAAAACGATTTTTTTGTATTTTGTTGAGTGAGCTCTGTCTTATAGCTTTTTACCGACGTCACTTATTCACGGATTGTATATGCGATCGGAAACAAATAATTGATTTTGTAATTAGGAAAGTCTTTATTTTTATTATACTAACTTTAACATTCTTGGGTGACTTCTCCGGGGGTGAGATTTGAACTCGTGACTTGATGGTGAGAGGAATGGATGTTAACCACTACACCGAGGTCGTCCCCAGGAAAGTCTTTAATTTCATTAGAATTCCTAGATTACATTTAATTGAATTACATGTACTATCACTTAGATAACGGGCATACAAGCTTAATATCGGTTACAGCTACAGAAACGAGAAAAGACACGTGGTAACTATCGCCACGTACCAGTCAAGACCCAAATGAGAAAGATTCCTAAAATTCAAACTGAAAACACTGCCCATTACTTGGTACCTATTAAAAGTGAGATTAATCATTAAAATATTTATATTGTAGTCCTAGCTTCGGCTGGACATATACTAAAATTGGAACGATACAGAGAAGATTAGCATGACCCCTGCGCAAGGAAGACACGCAAAATCGTAAAGCGTTTCACATTTTTAAGTTGCTCGACCGAAATCCGCAAACTCGGTTAATGAATTTGTACTACGAATACATGACGCTGGAGGTTGGGCCATCTTCGTTCAAACCCAATCGTGCAGGCTTAGAAGACTTCTACAGTTCCTCTGTACATTTTGATTTGACCATGCAGCAAGAAATCCATGGAATACCACATCCTCATCGTTCGATGGTTGTTCCCTCAATTTTCGCTATCAAATACCGCCACGTCAGTCAAGAGAAGAGATTTTTCACAGATGGGTCAACCATAAATGCGTCCACTGGTTTTGAAGTATTCAATGAATTTCATAGCGGCTCCTATAAACTTCAGAAACCCTGCTCAGTTTACGTTGCGGAGCTAGCAGCTATATCATACGCGTTAGAGCAAATTGCCTCACTTTCCCCTGACCATTACTTTATTTACACGGACAGCCTAAGCTCACTGGAGGCTATTCGTTCATTGAGACCGATGAAGCACTCGTCGTATTTCCTGTTTGGAATACGATCTATCCTGAGTGCTTTATCTAATTGCTCTTACACTGTCACCTTGGTTTGGGTCCCTTCTCATTGCTCTATTCCGGGTAACGAGAAAGCGGACTCGTCGGCTAAGGTGGGCGCAAATCGCCTTCAATGAACTTTTCTCAATAGCTCGTCAGCAAGTCCTCAGCAACTGGCAACAAAAGTAGAATGATGGTGATTAGGGAAGATGGCTACACTCTATTCTCTCACAGGTTTCGAACAAACCATGGGCCGTGAATTTAACCGCGTCATGTCAAGGCTCATGTCCAATCACTTTTCCTAAGACTCACATCTCTATCGAATTGGGCTCTCAGACAACAATCTATGCGCCTCTTGTGACGGTTACCACGACATCAAGCATGTTGTTTGGTCTTGTACTTTATACTGTGTTGCCAGATCTGAGTTGCGTGAATCCTTTAGGGCCCGAGGAAAGCAACCTGCTACACCATATAGAGACGTTCATGCTAGCCACGATCTCGAATATATGAAGTTGATTTAGAGAATTTGAGAGTTTTTGCTTTTTTGTTTTTTTTTTTATTTTATTTTTTTTATTGATGTGGCAGTCCTCTCATCGTTCTCGCAACATAGCCTCTTTTGTGTTTCGTTTCAGTTGTCCAATCAATTGTCCATTCACCTTTCGAGATTCAGAGCACTTGTCCGCACTGCAGTGATTCTTCTACGTTCACTCACCAATGCAACGGCGACGGAGGTTAAAATGACAATTCACGCCTATGTATCTTATCCCAAGTCTACATCCAACCTGTTAAAAAATGTTTGTCCTTAACCTCGAGTAAGCCGCGAGTATTCGGTCCCCGTTCTACTAGCTTTAGTCATAAGATATAATGCTATTATACCTTGTTATACCTCATTTTAGCTCCACAAAGCTAACGCAACTGAGCCTTTATAAATAAATGATATTATAAAAAAAAATTATATTCTTAAATCATCGTCCGGGATGATAAAACACAATTAACAGTTTTATTGTTCT